AATGTGGGCTGCATTATTCTAAAACTTTTTTTCATACTAAGTTAACCATCTTTGGGCTTCTAATTGAAGTTGTAGAGCTCACTGAGACAAATCTAATGATGCTTGAATCATCAAAATTGGCCTTGTAGATCACAAAATAGCTTTAAAAAATATTTCACTGACTAGATAAAATTCTTTTTCAACAATATTATTGTTAAAAGAGAATTTTACATAGTTGGTAAAATGGTTTTCAAAGATATCTCATGATTTATAATGCCGATTTTGACGATTCAAGCACCATTAGATTTGTCTCAATGAGCTCTACAATTTCAATTAGAAGCCTAAAGGTAGTTAACTTAGTATGAAAAAAAAATTTAGAATGATGCAGCCCATATTCGCAAAATTCTAATTTCTATATATAAATCACGTCATATTATATTATGATCTCTTACTGGTTGACTAGTGAATTACTAATTAAAAAGAAGAAAGAATAATCTTCTAATAAAAAATAATTAGATAATAAATGATACTGTCTTTACTATAATCTATATAAAACTATAATCAAATATAAAATCTTGTAAAAAATTTATATACAAATATAATTTTGAAATAAAAAATTTCTAGAAAAAGCCTCAATTATAAAATATAATTATTATGTATAACAAGTAGTATCACAGAAGGTCTAAACTATATATAAAAGATTCTACAAATAAGTATTTAGTTGAAGTAATTTGAAAACAATATCAATATCTCTACTTTAGACAATACTATTATCTCAATATCTAACTTGTAGAGTATTTATTTAGAAGTATGATCAACAGATTATACTAATTTTTAAAACCAATATTAAATACTTGCTTGGAAGAGTAATACAATATTACTAAAACTAGAATGGTAAGAAAAGTAGCAAATATGTGAAAGAGTTGTAATAAAAAATTAGTTTTATTTGAATTGAAAGTATTTTTGATACTATAAAATAGTTAGTTAAAAAAAATAATCATATAGAGACAAATTAAACTAATTTGATATATACCAAGCTAAAAGATTCAGAATATCTAAATAGAAGTCTATAATAAAAGAGACTAGAATATATTAACTTAATTGGTAATTCACTACTTAACCAAAGAAAGCTCATAGTATAACATGACATAGTTTATATATAGAAATTAGAGTTTTTAGAATGTGAGCTGCTTCTATCTAAAATTTTTTTTTTCATACTAAGTTAATTACCTTTGAGCTTCTAAATAAAGTTGTAGAGCTTATTAAGATAAATTTAATAATAGTTAAATCATCAAAATTAGCCTTGTGGATCATGAGATATCTTCAAAAACATTTTGCTGACTATGTAAAATTCTCTTTTAACAATACTATTGTTGGAAGAGAATTTTACATAGTCAGCAAAATGTTTTTTGAAAATATCTCATAATTCACAAAGCCAATTTTGATGATTTAACCACCATTATATTTCTCTTAATAAGCTTTACAACTTTAATTAGAAGCCCAAAGATGGTTAACTTAATACGAAAAAAAGTTTTAGAATGATGCAATCCATATTCGCAAAACCTTAATTTCTATATGTAAATTGTGTCATATTACACTATGACTCTCTCTGGTTGACTGGTAAATCACCAATTAAATAAAAAACAAAGAATCTTATTTAGCAATACTAAACAATATATCAACTGTTATTTAACTTTATTTCTTTTATCAAAATATATACACAAATCTATAATCTGCCTAATATAATTTTACTATGAAGATATAGTACTATTTTACTATTCATATACATATTAAAAATATCTATTATAGCAGCTAGTTTAAATTCTTTAAGTGCTGATAAAGAAAAAAAAATATTCTTTTCAATCATTATATTGGTTGTATTAATTTTTTCAATTGGGATATTTAGAACTATAGTGCCCTGTTTTATAATATAGAAAATATTTATATATACTTAGTACTTCAACTCCTTTCTCTTCATTACTAATATTAGCATGTTTCATATTGCTAGCAGCTGCTTTATTATTTTCTTTAGTAAAAGCTTTTAAGTACTTAGTAGCTAGTCTGTCTTTATCCTGATATATAACTGGATCTTTAATACTATCTGCATCATATATATGACTATTAGCTAGTTTTATAATATTATTTGGTGCTAGATTTTTAATAATTACTAATTGAGCTTCAGCTTTCCATCTTCTTTCTTTTTTTGCAATATATGATAAAATAAAGCTTATTCAAATTTTTTTAATCATTATTTTATATTGAATAATTTAGAGCCTTCTTGAAATTTTCTATAAGTCTACTATACTTTATTTTCTTTTATACGTGATATTAAACTTTACTTTCTTGAATATTGCTAAAATGTTTAGAAATAATTTGCTATAAAGTTTTATTCTGGATACTTAGAGATGATAATCCAATAAATAGTTCTTTAGAAACAAGATCCAAATATTTTCATGAGTTATTTTGAAGCTATCTAGTTGGTATTAATATTACATAAAATAGCATCCTTTAATTTTTTACTATCAACTTAAAGTAATGTCTACAAACAATTCTATATAAAACCAGAAGCAAATATATACACAAATATGTATTATTATTAAGCAAAATAATATATTGATATGAGTTTGGTACTATAGAAAATAATTCACCAAATCTTTTTAATTGTATCTTTTGAAATAGAATTAATTAAAGCCTTTAAATATATTTGTCAAAAGTCATAATACTCTTCAATAGCCTTAACATCTTGGTTTATATACTAAAATAAATATAATAATTAATATATGACAATCAGGTTTTTAAACTCATATAATAATATCTGCTACTCTGATTATATCGACACTCCAAAATAAAGAAATTGTTTAATATATCCAACTGTCATATAACCAGATATATTTTATATTAAGTATATAGTTTCAAAATTTTAAAATGTTGTTATAGCCAGATATCATTACATCTAGAAGTTAATATAACCAGAGTGATGTGTTTTACTATTATTTTACTTTGACTTTCACTAGATTTACCATTATACTTTTTCTGATTTATAATTTGTTTCTAATAAAAAAATATATATATAGTCTTTAGTCATGACTTAAGTACAACTTTAGGTACTTGTTATGAAATAAATTCAAATATATATATACTAAATGATCCTCATTAAATTCAGCAGTAGAATCTACATCTATTTTTTTGCATTGATAGAGGACTGATTCACATATTTGATTTTTAAGTTCTTCAATAATTTAAGATAACAAATATTTTTGAATTAGCTCTTCGATGTTACTAAAAAGACTTTCTATAATAAATAGCTACAGTAAATATTCCATTTACATATAAGCAAGCTCAGAATTGTTAAGTTAAATAAAGAAAATTGTCTAAGTAATTATACGTATTAGGGTATTTTTTTTTAAAGCTTAAAACTGTTGTTTAAAAATATTAACACTCAATGAATTTCAAGCTTTTCAAAATTCATTAATAAATTCTTTGAATTTTATGTGACCAAGTTTGGATTTGAGTTTTTTTGGCAAATTTTGTAACAAATACCAAATACAATATATATAATATGAATTTTTGTATATATTTTTATATGCAGCATCTATTACAAGATCCATATTAATAATGAAAACACGTTGCTCAGAACTAGTTGTATCTAATGTTTGTTGCAATACTCACTCAAAACTTTCTTGTGTCTTGTCATTTAAAAAAGCTTATACACCAAGATATGATTTATCTTCATTGTCAACAAGAACAAATAATGATAATGGGTAGTTGTATTTATTTGTTCTTGAGGTATTGTTATACAAAACAACATCAAAATAATGAGACTATAGCAAAATTTAGTTTGGTGTTATCCAAAATATGCCATATAACTGATTATTATCTATATTAATTAATAGTTGCACAAATATTGTAAGTTCTTCTTTTTGTTGATTAAGAAGAAATTTTAGCAAATGAGAAGCATCAGATCTAGTAACCTTTTTATCATATTTAATCTTTTGAATTGCATTAGACAAATCTTGCGTAAAAAATAATTGATTAGGAAATTTTGGTTGAAGCAAATTTCTTATAGTATATGCATTACAATGATCTTATACCACTGCATGTTCTATTTTAGCAATTATAATTTTATTAAAATATTTAAATGTAGTAGCAAACTTTTTATTATTAATATTAATTACATAGTTATGTTTCAAGTAAACAAAAGTAATATGTATATAATTGGTATATTCAGAACTACTTAGCCATTTACAATCTGTCCTCTTTGAGTCTTTATTATGTTGTTGGCTGATAGGTTTTGTTTTATTAAGCTTATATTTGCTCGTCTTTTTACAAGTTAATGTTTGTTTTTTAACTATATGATTTTTATCATATTCAACTCTATACTGCTTTATTATGAAACCCTTCTGCCTTCTATACTCTTTTAAGTAGTATTTTGTGATTTCTCAAGAACTTTAATAGATAATTCTATAGAAGAAGTTATTAACAAATATTTTATAAAATCAAGTCTTTCTAGCTCTGATCCAAAAATAGATCCTATAGATAAATTTTCTTCTTCTTTAGTATCTATAATATTTTATTATTTATAAATATATTGTATTATACTAGTACAAATTATACAATTACAAAACATCATTACCATATATTTCTAAAAATAAACTACGTATATCTAATAATAAGCTACTTTTCTTTTTTGAAGAAAAATGTAAAAATGTTTTATACCTAATGATCATCAATAGTTACTCTATAGTAAAGTCAAAATTTTACTAAGTAAATCGATATAACTTATTAAGTAAAAGTTGTTTAGAAAAGGGTGTGGCGACTTAGTGAAGTGGT